TAGCTTTTTTTTTGCAATTTATTTGTCCTTTGAATCTATTGTTCTAAATAATGCTTATTTTCGCAATTTATTTGTCCTTTGAATCAACTTTAAGCTTTAGATATCTGACCAAAGGTTTTTGGCCTAGTGCTTTTTGTACTTATGCAAATAAAATGCTGAGATTTTTCAAACTTTATAGTAAGAAAAATCGAAATATCTTGCTTTTTTGGTCTTTTTATTCAGTAAAACAAATCGTGATATCAATTGAAAACAGAATTTGTCTTTGGTTCATTGGTTATCATAAAATCAAGCAAATTATTAAAAGAAGAAAAGAAAATATTTGGAAGGTTTACAAAAAAAAATATTTTCAGTGGTTAGGTGATTTTGAGCCCCAAGATGTATTGTATTGTATCCAAAAAGGAAACACATTTGCGTTTTATTGAAGTTTGGTTAAGTTTTTTAAGTGGGCTTGAACAAGTAAAATGGCCCATATACAAATTTTGCAATTATTGTTCTTTTTTTTTTCTCTCATCATTTGCATTGAATCCGATCACGTGATACATGTTCGAGTAAAATAGTGTGATCGGTATGATCAACTTAAAGAAAATGCATCAACTTAGAGTGAATCGTTGTTGATAGGCTGCGCAACGCAGGTGGTTTCGTCGATCACAAATCCTTCCCATCTCGAAGTTGGACTATACAATACTACATAGGTGTTCCAAGTGTGTCATTCCTCATTTTATGCATCTCACTCAAAGATTAAAGCTTATGCACTATTTGCGATTAAGGTTGATTAATTTTTTCTCTAATTATTTCCCATTGACTAGACTTTTACTTTGCATTTGCATGACTCACTACTTCTAGTGGTTCTTGGATAATGCTCCTATTTTTTCTTCATTTCTTGTATTCATGCTTACATTTTTTTCTTATTTTGTTTCTAATTTATAAAACAATTGATAATGAAATTTTTGGCCTTTTTTTAGTTTTGCCTGTTTTGGTACCATTCACCTCTATTTTCTTTGACTGATAATGGCATTTTTTTGCCACTTAAAATATATATATTTATAAGGGGAAACATATTCATCATCATGGCAAGGTTCTTGCACTTAAAATTTATATAAGGTCCTCTCATGTGTAAATCTTAAGTGCAAGAACCTTGCATTGATTATGCTCTTAAGAAAAAAATATAAGAACCCCCTTAAATTGTTAAGAATTTGGTTTTTCTTTTGATAAAATGTTCTGACCTATCCAACGCAAGTGGCTTGATTTTGTATGAGAGAACTTGTAAGGGAACTAAGGAAGAGATTATCAAGATCATGAGTTTGAATAGAACTGGCCTTAACATGTTCTTGAGGGGTAACAAACGAACCTTACATATTTTTCTTGATTCCATGAATAAAAAACAAAAAGAAAGAAAGAAAGAGAAGTTATTAAGAAAAAAGAAATAATAGAATTAACACATAACTTGCATTGCATATACGTCTTCATAATTATCGACACCAAAAGAATCAACACATATATATATATATCATTCAATTATTTGTTTAAATTCTCGAATATATAGAAAATAGGATTAATCAAGGCGGTATCTTAGACCGAGATGTGACTTTGGATGATGAACACTTCACCGAAACAAGAGGCTGATAATTTACGAACCGGCTCGGAGCTGATCTTGGTCGGAACCCTTTAGGCATACAACTCTTTACTTCTGTCCCACGGTAAATCTGATTCCTCGGATTCAATTTGACAGTGTTATCCACCGATAAAGGCATCACTGACGAGCTTGGAACGCTTTCAAGTGGTATCAAACGCCCTCCGGCATATAGAAATACAAGGTTTAGAGTGATGATGATAGTATGAAACCTTGTGTTGAACATTGAGTTTTACTTTGAAGTGATAAGGTTTGCTTCTTGAGAGCTTTAGTATAATGATGTGAGGGAACTATTTATATATAAGTGGCGAGGGAGATATACATTGGTTTAGGGTTAAGGTTCATAAATGGGCTCGTGAGTGATGGCTGGAAACTAAAGATGAGAAGAGAGTTTAAGTAGAAAGATGACAGAGGCAAAATGGCTGGAAAATGTTTGTATTAATCAAAAAAATACGATTTGATTTTATATGTGTGACATAGAGAAACTTTAAAGTGTGTTGATATGGGGTCGGAGAAGATCAGAAAGAGGTAGGGAAGTCCGTGAGTTTCTGATATTACAATCAAAATAAAACATTTGTCTTTGCATTTATGAAATTATGACACACTCACGCACACTTGCCTGAGTTTCAAACTACGGTTTCTCTTGTTTCAAAATGGTTCTTAAGATTGGCCATGATATTTAGAAAACAAAAATATAGTTTATGTGCTTATGTACACGTACGGTTGCATCATGCATGGGCTTTTCTGGACTAGGTTGAAACTGTTGGATTTACAGAGACACGAAAATCTTTCACTAACCATTTTTAATTTTTACATATATTGATGATATACCTAATGAATCCATTCGTGTTGTAGGATTTAGTTTGTATCTTCAGTAATCTTCTATTCATAAAGATAAATATTTTAATTTCGTCTCTCAACAAATTAATAACAGTTTAACATTTTGTTAGAACTAAAGTGGTCATCTTATCTTTGGGTATTAAAACGAATAAACGATGACCTTTAATTGAGATACACACATGTGGTCCAAAAGTTTATAAAAGTCTTCCACTATTGGCTACATGATATATCATGTATGAGATAAATATATATTGCATACGCAAGATCCATCCTGGAAACAAAAATTATTGTTGCGTGGAATATATGTCAACTGGACCAAGATCCAAAATTACTTAGTAGTTAGAAATGCAGGCAGTTTGACTATCTTCTGAGATTAGTCAGAAAACATTTTAAACTCGGGATAGACAATATGGTAGCCCTTCGGAGGGAGAAAATCTACTCTGAAACACTTCGGTGCGTTTCTACCGGAGCTGATCGGATCAACCGATATGGTTAATTAAAAAAAAATTACCATTATGTATGAAATCATAGAACATATTAGAGATTTAGAGACTACCTAAAAGAAGTCCAAATCCATGTCCACAAGCCTAATGAAGTCCATGTGTTTAGGGTTTTGAGATCAACTCAAATTGGAGCTTATAACCCCTTAGTTTTTATACTCAATTTAGTTTTTATCAGTAGAAGAAATGTATAATATAAAAATATAATTAAAATATTAACGAAATAATATAATACAACATGAAATTATTTTCAAAAAAAAAATCATTTTAAAAAGGTTGATCAAGTATTTAGAGTCTCACGCTAGAATTAATGTTATGTTGGTCCGACGAGTATGGGGGTTGGAAATATGGATGTTTCTTAAGGTACATTGCTTGTCCGGAAAACAATGAGAGTGGTGGTTGGAAAAAACCATGTGGGATGTCTAGTTGGTTAAGACATTCCAAAATGTTGGTTGAAAAACCAAGTGGGAGAGTAGAACACTTTGAATTCACTTTCAAGTGGACAAGAATTTATAACACTCCAAAATCGCTCTAGGAACAAAAGGGTCTTCATGAAGCAAAAGCGTCGAGTTGATGGACTTGGGAAAAAACCTATGGAACTTGCAAGAAGAGTGAGATGAGTCACATATTCAAGAAAGTGTAGATTATTAGATTATCTAAGCATAGAGGACGATAAAGGAAAGCAAAAAAAAAGGAGACCCGAGAGAAGAAAAGGATACTCAAAGACACTTGATGAGCATAGACTAGTTATATTTCCAAAGTCTTCTTATATGTACGTTCTCTTGACAAACCAATGATATAAGTTATATGGAGATCGACCAAATTAAAAATGTTGTCTCACATCGTAACACCAAACAGAAGACGACTCTACCATTCTCGTCACACGTCCACCCTCCAACCAAACAATACTTTGGCATCCACACAAAGCTAAGCCAAAGCCGAGAGCTTCACAATGAAAATAAATAATAGAGAAACATATCTTTTTTTTGCTTCTCATTTTTGTTGGTTATACTTATAGATAAACATATACCAACCTAATGTTATGATTTATAAATTTGCTATAATGCACACAATTATTATCATCTAATTTTAAGAGATATATTTTTTTTGAAGTAAAAGAATGTTTTTAATTTTAAGAGATATTCTAAATACATATTAAATATTACTTTCCAATAAAATACTCAAAATAAAACTTTTAATGACCATATATAAAAAAAATTAAAAATTAGTCCAAAATTTTTAAACAGCATTAATGTTTATCAGTTTATGACTCTTTAATTTATTTTTTATCTTATGGTTACTACTACAATACTACAACACCATTGAATCTCATATATTGGATCACTAAAGAAAACACACAAACAAATATAGTAATATCCAGTGGGACTTCTCCTTATTTATAACTATTTTTTTTCAAAAAATAAGCTAATTATTTTACTGGGAATTAAAAAGAAATTTTTTATCTTTCTCTGAAAGAAGAAAAAAATGAATTTAGAGGAAAAAGAAAATATTTTCTTAGGATAGCAAAGTTTGAGCCAATAAGCAAAAACAAAAGCTGATGCTTGTCGCAATTGTGTTCGTCGAGAATCTCAGGAGTCAGGACGAACCCAAATCTTCTTCTCTCTCTCTCTCTCTCGGAGCTCTATTAAAAACCATTCAATCCATTTTAGAGCTCATTTTAGGCTTATTTAAGTAAAAACAGAGTAAACAAACCCTTCTTCTCTTCCTTTCTCTAATTCCATTTCGTCTCCTTCGTTTTTTTGTTTTCTAATTTCTTTGTTTGATTCTCTTATACGAAATTTTCAGTTTTTATCGAAGTTTATTGAATACCCATGATTCAAAGTTTCAATTTTTATGCGAATGATTCCTCAATTTGATGTTCTGTTGATTTCTAGGGTTTGTGTGGGGTTGGGTGTTCTTGTGTAATCGTTTTGATGGGTCTTTAGTGATGATTTTGCAGGTATTGTTTTGAGGATTTGTATAGACTTCCATTGCATATTGAAAGGACTTAGCTTTTTTAAAGGGTGAGTTGTGTAATCCAAGAATCTTGAATACCTCTGAGACATTGTTTTCAATTGTTATGTATCTTTAAGCTTAGTTGTTCTGTTTCAGTTTGTCTGATTTGGTTGCTTAGTGTGTGTGTATTCATCAGATTGTGTTAGGTGTAGCTCTTTCATTTTCTAGGGATTGATATCGTAAAGTTGATTTATGGGATGTGGTTTAGTATTTAGACTTGGATGTGGTTTAGTATTTATGGGATGTTGCTCTTTAAGCTTTAAGTTTCTAGTTTCTTCATCAATCGGAATATAGAATTTGGTTAACCGGTACACTTTGTGGGTTAGTGTCTCATGTAAGGGAATTCTTAATGGTTCTGTCTTGGAATTGTTGGGAACCATAGTGCTTGATATGTTTTCAGTGTAGGAAGTAGGAACAACGCGGTTTTCTTATAGGTTTAACTGGCCTTTAGCAGAGATATCATTCTTATGATGAGTGGCGATACATTAGTAAGATGAAACTGTGCAACGAGTTCATATAATGGTTAAGTTCTGTCAGTGACTCAGTGCACACAGAGAGGAATTAGCTGGGGAATTTGGATGTACATGGTAATAACAATGTAGTTTGTGTCTTCTATAACTGGTCTCTCTTGGTATAATGATCAATATGTTTCATTTCCATCTCTTGTGATCCATTAATTATTGAATCTTTTGTCCAGCATAGTACTTTCTTCAAATAAGGGATTGGGAAAATATGCCAAAGAGAGTGATGTACATTCTCTGGTCCAACTTTTGAAATTGTCCGAGTCTTTGGATCCTTAGTTTGTCTTCGGGATTAGAGTTTCGTTGAATAGATTTACCACTTAAAAAAAAGTCTTACTCTGCCCACAAATAAGAGTTCGCATCATAGTGGACGATATCTTTGTTTGCAATTCAGCCATTTAGCGTTTTGACGGTTAATCAAGTCACAAGATTCTTGATGATCTATTAGCGTACTTACTTTATCGCGGTTAAAATTATGATTGCATTTTGTTTCAGGCACTAAGTGGCAATCTTTTTCAACATGAACAGCCAGAATCCTATTGATCATGTAAGCCACTTATTTTCTCTTTGTCCTGAACCGACAAACCGAATAATTTCTAGTCTCTCTCACTTGAATTTTCATCTTTATCTTATTCTCAAACATAGGAGGACACAACGGTTGTTGGATTTGAGGTACCTGTATCGCCAGTTTCAAGTTACAACAACGTGTACTCCGCAGCAGAAGATGAGACGAGAGATCCCCCAGCTGTACCGCCACATCTTCAACACTCTCTGTTAGGCAATTCGGGTAGCATGGAATTGGCTTGTGCACCACAGAATGTCGTCCTGAACCATCTCTATATCGAAAACCGAGACGCACCAAGATCAGTTGTAGCACTTGGTTTCTCGCATAGGTTCAGATCTAAGTTTGTCACTGTGGTGATATACAAGCCTGTCCAAAGAAGAGGGAACGCTAGTGTTTGAATGATGTGATGATGCCTCTATTGAAATAGTAGTGTTGGGGATCTTGCTGCTTTGTGGATTTAATTTGGTATACAAACTAGCTGATCCAGAAGACTAAATTTTTCATCTTCTCTTTACCGATTTGGTTTAGAAGGTTTCTTCTAGGTAATTCTATTGAAATCATCATTGTTCGAAGTTTATATAAAAAAGTTTTAGGGCCACAAGCTGATGGACTTGGGCATTGTCTCTGTTTGTAATAATAACTCCCTTATTAGATTGGGTTGGTTAACTGAGTTCCAAGTATATCTCTTATTGAAGTTGTGTATTTTAGTGTTTTACTCATATTTGAGTCATTAAGTGATTCCATAAATCTTTACAACAATCATAAACTATCTTAAATTATAATCTATCTATGAATCAAGTAAAATGATGAAGAGATGCAAGAAGAGAAGTAAAATGAATTACAGTTCCATTTGAGTTTTATAATCGATAAGTCAAAACAGTTTCAGAAAGAGGAAATTGTGTTTAATTGCTTATTTCGACTTTTTTTTTATCAATTCTGAAATATGTGCTTTTTTTTTGTGTGGTGAATTGTCAAATGTCACAATTTAATTGGACAAGTGATTTGTGTTTTACAAGATAAAAGATGATTAAAAAAACGATAAAAAAATATTTACTTTTTATTCAAAAGTAACATTATTTTTAACAACGATCAAGTATTGTATAATGAGGTATAAGTATAAGACTGAAAAAACAATGTAAATTAATAGAGATAAATTCATGAAATCAATTTTGCTGTAAAACAAAGGCTGTGAAAAAGAGATAAAATTATTTGTATTTTAACTGAAATTACTTACCTAATAATAATTTTTAACCGTATTTCAACTTGAAAACTGAGTTTACTAAAACCATAGCTTATACCAAACTGGAATATATACTAACAAGCAAAATTAATAATGGAAAAAATAAAATGCATTTAAATTTTCTTGAATTTAAATTTTCTAACCAAAATAGGATCTATTTATGATTTCATACATAAACTAGCAACATTATGAGTTTTTGACATTTTGTTCAGTAGAGAACAAAATACAGTTTTGAAGGTATGCATACTTGTCTTGGATTATATAGTGGAAAATACCGATTCTAAACAGAAACAAAAACTTTTTTTTATTATTATCCTTACAACTTAGACGCATTTTCATTGAACTGTCCGGCCTAGTCAAAAATATTGAGCAAATGTCTAAATATATTTTTGTAATCTCATTACGATTTCTTCACATAACCAGAATGTAAAATCCAAAGTGATCATTGAACACGAGTTTTACTCACAAAAATACATACCTAAATTTTTTGAATTATGACTATGCATTTTTTTTTTTGGGTGAAAATTCCCATCATATGTCTAGAACTGAAATAAAGCCACATTTATTTTCTCAAAAATTGTATAAAACAGCTCCCTCTTTCTAATTTTGTTGCCGTTTAAAGTTTTTCATACAAATTAAACTAGAATTTTTACCAAACAATGTATTATAAATTTAAAACGACAACTATTATGAAACAAATTGTTAACTATAAAACGACGACGAAATATAACAAAAACGTAAATAATATGATTTACTATAGTTGGATTCCATAGCTATTTTTAATCATAGCTATCCTAGAGTTGGTAGAATGTAATTAGGCCTTTAAGGTGCTAAAATTAAAAATAAAAAGCTTTCTTAAACCAAGTTATGAAATAGACAAATACTTATAAAACTAACATATCGCTATCAAATCATATAGCGTAGGTCCATAATCTTTCTTTTTAACTCTTGTGAGTCTTTCTTTTTGAATTCAATAATTTTGGCTCTTCTCATTATCTTTTTCCACTAAATCCTATCCTTTTTGTAATCTTATGCTAGTTTATTTATTATTTTTTTTTTTTGGTTAAACCAAGTATATATTTTCGGAAATTTGGACTTAAAAAATAACAAGAAAAATATTTAAAAAGCTTTGTGATGTGGCATATATATCTGACACACTGAATTACTCGATTTAGTTTAAACTTTTTTTTTTTCATATGAAATTTTTCTTTGTCATCTAAAGGAAAATGCAAAAAAGTGTCTTCCACTTGATTTGTCGAGACAGAGCAGCCAATGAGGATTTGAAACGTTTTAATGAGTACTCATAGTTTGGCTGACTAATGTGCATCGACACAAATGTGTGCTTCTCTCATCATGAGATTCCATTAGTTACCATTTTCTTTTCGGCGCATCAAACACACATTTCTTTACTAATCTTTTTATCTTTCTTTCCCTTTGACAAGTCTTTTTAAAATGCAATGATATATTCTCTCCATTGTAATCTTGACAAAACAAAATAGGAGAAAGAGAGAGGGGGGACCTGATTGAGGGGTGATAGAGTTGTTGGTCCATGGCTCTGTCCTTTGAGGCCATTGATCACGTGGCGAGGAGTGTCTTACTGGTGCACTTTTATGAAAACAACCATGAGTGTCACGTGAGATACCATTGGGGCTATTGGTCCACCTCACCTCATTGGAGCCATGTCATTACACTTTGTCTGTATACTTGTTTAGCTCTCTCTTCATAAATGAACTTAGGAGTTAGGAAACCAACAAATAAAACAAAACATTTCATTGTGTGCAAGAATCAATGTCTTTAGGAAAAGTCTTATATAAATGAACTCGAAGTGGTTATATGAGAAGAAAATGAATACAATTTTAACTAGATATATTTGCAAAGCTGAGTATAAAAATCTTGTCCATAATAGATCCACAAAATTTCTAGGAATGAATGGAATAAAAAATTATTTTATCAACCATTAATTGTAGCACTCAATTAAAGAAGATACAATGGAAAACAAGACGAAACATGTGTCTTCCATTATTTTAATCTAAAATAACTTAAAAGACGCACAAAACACGTTAAAACATACACAAAAACTCTATATAACTTCTAAAATATAAGAAGATTCACTTATACACTAAATGCAACAAAACACAATAGAAATACCAATATAATATGATAAAAAGGATATTAAAAACCATAATAAAGCTATAAATATGAAGTGTGCTAAACTAAAAATGATTGTTCGAACGAAGATTGTTAACTCTTAAGTCATATAACAAAAGACTCTATGGCTTTTCGATATAAACTACAAGATTAGCCCTTAATTATTATGATTACATCGAATATGTTTTTGATGTTTTCTAAAATGCTTTTCCAAGTATTCGAATGATGTTTCATGTTTTTGGTTTATGTATGTTTAACCTTTAACTGTGAGTGTTGCATTGCAACTGATGTTTTTTAGAAAAATTGTATCTTCGAATTAAACAACTTAATTTTTCTGTCTTTTAAGTGTAATTGTTGTGTTGTGTAATGTGTAAAGGGGAAAAGAGGTGGCTAGAGAAATCATGAGGGTTTGATGCGACCACGTCACAGGCAAGGCCAAGTGGCCAACAGCTTGTTCACAAAATCTGCACCTATCTACTTCAAACCGTACGGACTTTGGGGTCCCTTTCAGGTGAACTGGGCCTGCCTTATACGAATCAAAGATACTTTCTAATATTTTGGACAATGCAATCAAAGATAGAAAAAAATATGGAATTTGATGTCATGCGCATACCCACTAGATATAAGATATTGTTCCATTAGAGTTAAATTTATAATCTGCTTAGATTATGTACTACAGTTTAGTTCATTTCTGTAAAGAGATGTGTATTGGGGATTCGTATATCCTCAATTTTTTTATAACAATTTTCTAATGCGACATCGCGGAAATAACGAAATATATCCGGATCGAATATGGTAATCATAATTTTTAAGTTCTATATCGAATATCCGTATTCAAATCGAAAACTCTAAATATCTTAATTTTTTCGAATCAAATTTGATCAAATCCTTTTATTTAAAACACACTGACGTGATTCGGCAGTTCGTTTTAATAAATAATAAATATATACATTATGATATTGTTGGGGACTGTTAGTCTTATAATTAAAAATGTGACATATCTTTACCATAAACCAAGTAACCTTTATCGAATAGATAGTGGATGATTATTTTATAAGATAATCCAGAGACCAAATCCTCGTAATAGCGTCAGAGAGAGTTCCTTGGGTTCAACAAAGTACTTCAAACCACCTGATAGTGCAGAGTGAAGAGTGAAAGGCCATACTTTCAAAATTGTTTATATTATCAGTTCTTACATATACAATACAATAATATTAATCTGGCTAAAGTTAATAGTTGCTTTTTTCCTGCTAATTGAAAAATAAGTATATGTTTAGTGGGTAGGTTTATCTATATTCGATTTGGAACAATAAAGATAAACCTTTTCTTTCATTTAATAAAAGCCGAATCAATTAATCTTCTTTTTTATATATAAGCGAAGATAGATCTCATATACATTTATGTATTTATAAAAATCTGGAGTAAATTTTAAAAGCAGTAGAAGTACATAAGTTAGACATATATGGGAAACTAGCTAATCTTGTTCTAGACCCAAGTTCAAACCATATATATGCAGATATTTTAGTTACTATTAGAATCGGACCGCACCGTGAAGTTTTAATTTTATTCGGAAAAATGAGATTTCCTAAGAGTGCAATCTTTCGTCTACATGGATTGATACTGTATAAAAAACAGTTTGGCACATATATTTATTTAATCTAAAGAAGGATGATACATATTAGTCCATAATTTCGCTTAAATGAACTTTATGAGTGGAAAACAAAGACTGTAAAACAAAACCATCAAACTGATTACCGAACATATGATTCAAATTGATTTTATTGAATCAATATTATTGATAGAGATAATATGTATATGCTCCATGCTTTCCCTACGTAGAGTTTATGTTTATTGTAGTTATAATTTCGTTTAAATTTTATATAAACACAGACACATACACACACATATATATTCATCAGTATTTTAATTATTACCTTTTTGTTATAAATATATTTGAGAGAGACAAATTAAATTGCAAAGAGCCAATATGAAAATCCCCAACTTCGAGAGAGACAAGTCCAGAATCAAGCACCACACCCCAATCTTGTTGTTTTCTCTTCATCCCTTACACATTTATGACAAAACATTTTGTAATAAAACCAATGGAAATGGTGTTTTACATGGCACTTGACAGGTAAAGGATGTGTCTGATAATATTACTTTTTATCTACATAAAATATTTTTGTTTTGAATTTAATATTAAATTATATTCAAAGAAAAGAAAAATAAGACATTGTTGGAAAATTTTCTAAAAAATATTGAAAACAGCTGCAAATGGTAGATTATATCGAGCTAAATACGAGAGTAAAGCCACCATTGAAAGCCTTCATA